GGTGTCTGTTGACTCCTTGCCCGCGTGGACATCCCACTGAGTTTGATAGGATTCAAGCCCAAATAAACATACATAAATTTACCTAAGATAATTACAGACCCTCTGAGTGTCCCTATTTTCCAGGGACAGTCCCAGATTTACAGAAGCTGCCCCGGTTTCTGATTTGATCATGGAATGTCCCGCTTTTCCTTAGGACATCCCCATTTTCATCGGAGAAATGTTGGAGGGTATCTCATCGGAGAAATGTTCAAGGGTTGGAAATGTTGGAGGGACGCAGGTGGCGCTGTGGGTTAAACCACAGAGCCTAGGTTCTTGCCGATCAGAAGGTTGGCGATTCGAATCCCAGTGACGGGGTGAGCTCCCGTTGTTCGGTCCCAGCTCCTGCCAACCTAGCAGTTCAAAAGCACGTCAAAGTGCAACTGTTTTCCTTTGTTGTGTGTTTTGTTGTGTAATTTTGAGATAAATGTGGAAAATCGATTTTAAAAAATGGGGAAAAAATAAAGGGGGGGAATACATGTACAGTCGTACCTCGGGTTACAGACACTTCAGGTTGCGTTTCTTTGGGACCCCCCCCCCCCGAAACCCAGAAGTACTGGAACAAGTTACTTCCAGGTTTCGGGGGTCGTGCATGTGCATAAGCGCGAAATCGTGCTTTGCGCATGCGCAGAAGCGCCAAATCACAACCCGCGCGTGTGCAGATGTGCTGCTGTGGGTTGCGAACGTGCATCCCGCACGGATCACGTTTGCAACCCGAGCGTCCGCTGTATAGAGAGTTTGGTGATTTGCAGTGGCAAGCAAACCTCACCTGAATTTAGTTGAGTATTTGCTGAGGAGGCAAATAATTCATGCACTTACTTAGCGCACACGCGTTTCCAAATGCCTGGCAGCTCTGGCAAGGCTTCTCCCAACGTGCTGTAGATATGCTGATGTGCTTTGAGGCAATTACCGTTAGGAGCAGAGGGGAGTGAAATAACATCAACACATGGCTAATGTTATGTCACAATTGGCTGACAGACAATCAGAGCCAGCCGCACTGTGCTATTGCAAGCAGCCCCATAAAATATGTGCCGTCTAAATGTTTATGCCCCAGAATCCAAACACTGTAAAATGTTGGAGCTCGTCCTGCAATTTATGCATCGACTGCCTTGTGGAAGAAGGAGAAGAAGAAAAGACAAAAAAGAAGAGAGCAAATAGAAGATGCTCAATGGAGAGGAGAATCTAGAAAGAAAAGGACAGAAGGCAAAGGATTATATAAATGATAAAATTATACTGCCAGCAGAGAAAAGAGGTAGAACAGAGGTAGGACCACCAGATGATTTTGGACTACAACTCCCATAATCCCAGGATCCCTGCAACAAAATGTTGCAGCGCTGAGAGTCCCTGTTACATTGAATCAGCCAAGGCCTTGTCTATTGTGTCCCATTCCATTAGCCCTCTCACCTGGTTTTCCATTTTATATGAGCTTCTCTTTTTTTTTATTGAAACAAAAACTTTATTACCTTTTCAAAATTTACAAAGAAAGAATAAAAAGAATAATTTGATGCTCAGCTATGTATTCTAAAACAAAAGTAGGTGTTACAAAATATATGGTAAAACTATAAACAAAACAACAATAAAAAGGGGGGAAGAAGAAGATCAACACAAAACGACAAAAACTAGAAAAAACCCCCAGAAAAAAACAAAATTACTTTTCTTCTACAAATATTATTTAGGAAGTTCAAACCAATATTTGAATATTCTGTACACAATGTCTTTTATGCTGGTTAGAGTCCCTTATGGTTTTGTTGACTTCTGTCTATCTCTTCGCGGTTTCGACTCAACTATTACAGTTAAATAATCTGTGTTTTGTTGTTTATCCAAACAATAGGAAGATCCCCCCCCCTTTTCTGTGAAATTAATCTAAACACAACTAAGTATTATTATTGGAACCGTATTTATTCAGATACTTTTGGAAGCATTCCCATTCTTTTTTGACCTTATCTACCGACCTTATGGGACACGGGTGGTGCTGTGGGTTAAACCACAGAGCCTAGGACTTGCTGATCAGAAGGTCGGCGGTTCGAATCCCCACGACAGGGTGAGCTCCCGTTGCTCGGTCCCTGCTCCTGCCAACCTAGCACTTCAAAAGCACGTCAAAGTGCAAGTAGATAAATAGGTACCACTCCAGTGGGAAGGTAAACGGCGTTTCCGTGTGCTGCTCTGGTTCGCCAGAAGCGGCTTAGTCATGCTGGCCACATGACCCAGAAGCTGTACGCTGGCTCCCTCGGCCAATAAAGCGAGATGAACGCTGCAACCCCAGAGTCGTCTGCGACTGGACCTAATGGTCAGGGGTCCCTTTACCTTTACTGACCTTATATGAGTTTCTTGTGGCTCCTGACCAACTTCAGTCCTCATAGAGGAGCCCCCACCTTTCCTTCCTTTTTTCATACTGTTGCAGTCTGTGGAGTGCCCCCAAGACTGTGGTTACCTGCCTCTTGTGCCCAGGTGATGCTGTTTTGCCTATAGAAGCAATAACACTCACACCTGAGCAAGGAGTAGCACTTCTGAGGCAGGTCTGAAAGCTGCCCCTGATGCAAAATTTGAATGCTCAATTGCCCCCCATTGTGTTACCCCACTAATGAAAATATCGTAGTCACCACCATTAGCTACAGGGCTGAGTTGAAGATGCTGTTTTTGGTGCACAAAGCTCCATACAACTTAGGACCAGAATACCCAAAAGACCATCTGTTATCAGTTATGCATTTGATGCCCTGTGCTCCTTTGGGATGGAGAGTGGGACATTAATTCATTAAACAACTGCGTTGGAAATAGAAGATTGGGCAAGGCTGCCCGAATGGTATATGTCCAAAGATGGAAAGTCCCAGCGAAAAATGATTGGCAATTAAAATTGATGGAATACACAGAGATGGCAAAATTTACCAGAGGAATAAGAGATGAAGATGAGAGACTTTTTTAACAGACAATTTGTTGAATATATGAAGACAAATTGTAAACAATTAAAAACGTTAGCAGGATCGACATAAACACAAGCAGTAAAAAAAATATAGAGAGTAAAAAGATTAAATTTATAAATAGGTTGGAACTGGTTATGCATAAGATTGTGACATAAAATAAGGAGCCACAGAAAGGAGAGGACAGGAGAAAATGTTGATTTTTGTTTAGATTTAATTGTTTGTTCTATGAACATTGTAAAATGAAAAAGTTGGGAGTTTTTAATTTTTAATTTTAGGAAATAGAAGATGTGATGAAGTATGATCCTTGCACATTTTTACTGCTTGTTCCAAGAGAAAGAAATGAAAAGCTCTGAGGATAGTCCATTACGTACATGACGTTCAGCATAGTGGTGGAGTGTCTCAGCATTCCATTAATTTCTTGTTCCCTATAAATACATCGTTTTTTAGTTGTTGGTCCAGCAGTTTTCACATCCTTTCTGACCAGTGGGTAGCTTAGCCTCAGTGCCTCTGATCTGTGAAATGCAGTGCTCTTGAACCGAGGGTGAGTTTGTCATCTCCCAACGGCCTGCGGTGCAGGGTGAGTGGTCCAGTTAAAGTGCTGCAGAAAGAGAAACTCTGAAAACTTTTTCCTTTGCCCTAGTATATATATTTCCCCTTTAATGTAGCACAACGAAGAACTGTCCCATTTCTTCAGAGCATTAGAGACTTCGAGGTGGAATAATGGAACTTTGCAAATGGAGGGCAAGAGACGAGGGGCGGCGAGGGAAAAAGAGAGAGAGAAAGAAATCATGTAGGGGAAAAGAAATGATTCCTTCTGCTCCTCTCTTGCACACAAATATATATTCTTTCTTGGAATAATAAACAGTTGTGGTTGGAGTTTCCATATGAACAACATCTGGCACGGAGCAAGCGAGAAGTTTAAGACCTAACTGCGACATGATTGTGCAGGGAAATCTATTTGAGGTCGTTTTGACTGGTTTCTAATAATTGCCCGATATAACAGCCCTCTTCCCCCGAGATCTGTAAAATTGGATTCGTATGATCTAATCTAAACCCTGTTTGGAAGTCAAGGAGAAGGGCTTTTCTCCCTCCATTAACATGGGCTGTGCATCTGAGCTGGCAACCTCTGTTCTGGTTCAGCAAAGCTCTTGAATGCTTGCTTAAGTGTTTTCATGAATAAGGATTGGCTTAAGCAGATACTTGAATTTAGCATGCTTCTGCAAGGTTCAGCAGAGTCAAGGTTATAGTGGAGAGGGGACTTTTATACCCCTTCGGAACTGGAGTAAGGACATTTCTCCCTTTCTAAATCAGCAGGGTGAGGATTGGGCAAAGCAAAGTGGTGGGAACAAGGTGAGGGCATCTCAAAGGCCATTTTCACCAACCCAGAGCTCCCCTGAGCTTGACTCCACCACCTTGTTCTGCCCCTAACCCCATCTTGTTGAGCACAACACCAGCCTTGTAGAGAGGACACCAAGGCCCCCAGCACCATCACTCTTGAGATGCTGCTACACAAATTGGTCCACTTGTACTGCTGGGGAGAACTCATGACCGAAGGAATTTGGGAAGGCCTAAAGTGAAAGTTGGGTTACGGGTGGCACTGTGGGTTAAACCACAGAGCCTAGGACTTGCCGATCAGAAGGTCAACAGTTCGAATCCCCGCTACGGGATGAGCTCCCATTGCTCAGTCCCTGCTCCTGCCAACCTCTCAGTTCAAAAGCACGTCAAAGTGCAAGTAGATAAATAGGTACCAATCCAGCAGGAAGGTAAACAGTGTTTCTGTGTGCTGCTCTGGTTCGCCAGAAGCGGCTTAGTCATGCTGGCCACATGACCTGGAAGCTGTACGCCGGCTCCCTCAGCCAGTAAAGCGAGATGAGCGCCGCATCCCCAGAGTCAGCCACGACTGGACCTAATGGTCAGGGGTCCCTTTACCTAAAGTGAGGGTGGGAAGCTGCATGCATGTTTGATTCATATGAAGTCTGGCTGTTGTTGCTCCTTCTGAGCCCTCATATTCAGATAGAAATGGGAGACACATAAGAACATAATTGAGCCTGGATAGCTGAGTTGGTTAGAGCATGGTAGTGATGACGCCAAGGTTGCAGGTTCGATCCCTGTATGAGACAGCTGCATATTCCTACATGACAGTGAGTTAAACTAGATCGGGGTTCCCCAAACTTGGGTCTGTTTTTGGACTACATTTCCCATCCTTCCCATCCCACTGGTTCTGCTAGCTCGAGATGATGGGACTTGATATCCAAAAACATCTAGAGACCTAAGTTTGGGAAACCCTGAATTAGATGATCCTTAGGGTACCTTTCATCTATGATTCTACGATAATAAGTGCCTGCTGGGTCAGGTCAATGGCCCACATAGTTCAGAATCCTTTTCTCACAGTGGTCCAGCAGATGCCTGTGGGAAACCAGGAAGCGGGATCTGAGCACACAAGAGCAACTCTCCCCTCCTTTGGTTTCCTGCGACTGGTATTCAGAAGCACTGCCGCCTCCAACTGTGGAGACAGAGCTTAGCCCTTATGGCTAGTAGCCATCAATAGCCCTCTCCTCCTCCATGAATTTGTCCAATCCTCTTTTGAAACAATCCAACTTGGTGGCCATCTCTGCCTACTGTGGCAGTGAGTTCCATAGTTTAACTGTGTGCTACGTTCTTTTATCTGTCTTGAATCTTCCAACATTCAGCTTCATTGGGTGCCCATGAGTTCTAGTGTTATGGGAGATGGTGTGGATGAGGACTTAGAATAATAATAATAACTTATTATTTATACCCCGCCCATCTGGCTGGGTTTCCCCAGCCACTCTGGGCGGCTTCCAACAGAACACTAAAATACAATAACCTATTAAACATAAAAAGGTTCCCTAAACAGGGCTGCCTTCAGATGTCTTCTAAAAGTCTGGTAGTTGTTCTTCTCTTTGGCGTCTGGTGGGAGATGCTCCTTCAGGTATACTGGACTGAGGCCATTTAGGGCTTTAAAGGTCAGCACCAACACTTTGAATTGTGCTCAGAAACGTGCTGGGAGCCAGTGTAGGTCTTTCAAGACCGGTGTTATACGGTCTCGATGGCCGCCCCCAGTCACCAGTCTAGCTGCCGCATTCTGGATTAGTTGTAGTTTCCAGGTCAACTTCAAAGGTAGCCCCACATAGAGAGCATTACAGTAGTCCATGCGGGAGATAACTAGAGCATGCACCACTCTGGCGAGACAGTCTGTGGGCATGTAGGGTCTCAGCCTGTGTACCAGATGGAGCTGATAAACAGAAAATAGAAGACTATACAGCAGAACGTTTTCCACCTCTGCTTAAAAGCTTGCCAGGGAAACTCTTTGGAATGACATCACATCTCCCTGGCAGTTTTAGAACTCTTTTTAACTAATCTTGGATGCTTGATCTTTTGCTCTTAGAACAGATTTATTGTACAAACCCCTTTTCCTTGTAAGAGCACCTGGGCTAGACCCTGCTCTTTCCTAGTCACTGAGTTTGCTAGACTGCTGTAATAAAATCTTACTTCTTTCCCTGCAAGTAAAAGCCTCTGCTCTCTGGTTTTGGGCGAGAGCCAAGGCAGTTGTTCTTAGGCCTGCGAGTGCTGCTCTATGCTCTCTTGAGACCTGCCACCACTTCTCCCCGGATTGGCAGATAGTCTCTTGTGTCTTTTAATGCACAAACAGATTTCCAGGCAGAAGGGGGCCTTCAATAACAGCAATGCTAATAACATGGCAGCAGTTAAATGCAGCGAAGGCCTTTTGGTCTGCATAATTCCTCCACCGGTCCCCTTTCCCTTAATTTCCCAGGTGGTAAGTCGGTCTCGCAAGCGAGTACTGAAGTCATTCCTCCTGTAAGCGGGATGCCAGTTACAAATCCTGCTCACCCTCTTTATTCTTGCTGCTGCTCATTGATGATGATGGTAAAAAAGGTTGCTATTATTATTGCACATCTGACCAGGCACAACTTGCATAAATAATGCAGAAAACACGTTCATAAATAAACCACACTCTGACTATTTAAGAAACTGCCTTTCAGGCTCCATAATGGCCTGGCCTGAACAGTGTCTGGAGCCACAAATTTTCACGTTCTTCTTGCACTAATAAAGAGGGCATTTGGAAGGTGCATCACTTGACTTTCATTTGCTAATTAAGAATGAGACACTAATCAGGGTCTCATAAGCTTGTGATGATATGTTTATTACAGTGTTCTAGTATCCATTGAAGTGTGTGTGTGTGTGTGTGTGTGTGTGTGTGTGTGTGTGTGTACATTGACCTTGGCATTTCTCTGGAAACTTAAGAAAACTTTTTAGCCTACAAAGTATATCCCAAACTCATGATTTGTCAGACTGGTGTCTCTGTGCCCAGCTGTGGTGGACTCAGATATCAGGGGGCACCTCAGAAGGATATGATTTCCTCCTGCCCCCATTTTCTATCTTCCTATTTTCATTTCTAGGAAGATGCAGAACCCTGCAGATCAAAACCCAGAATAGCAAGCTTCTTCTGTACCCTATAAACAGAGAGCGCTTAATGTTCATTTCTGACCCAAGGCAGAGGTCCCCTGCGGTGAGGACTTAGTGCTCTTTGAATTTCAAACCAATGATATCATGACTTTATTGAGGGAGGCTAAATTGCAGGCTTCCTCAGTGAAGGGACATTGTGGGTTGCAGCACCAAGGGGAAAGATTTCCCGCCTGTGGAAGGAACATAGGATCATGGGCACCATGTCTGTGAAATGGCAATTTGGTGTGTTGGCTTTCAAAGAAACAGCGATAAACTTCCATGTGGGGTCACTTTGCACGATGTTGTAGGTGCTGAAATGATGCTCTGTGTTGTTTTCAGCCAGCTATGATAGTCAGAATGCTTCGCTGGCAGGTAGAACACAACAGAGCAGGGGTTGGCCTTAAACTCTGTGATATTATTGATCTATAAAGCCCTGAAAGCTGTCTGAAAGACCTTATTCCCCCACACAAACCTGCCAAGGCTCTGTGATCTTCAGGGGAAGCCCTTCTCTTGCTCCTGCCATCCCCACAGGCATGCTTAGTGGGGGTTCTGGAAATGGTCCTCATGATAGCTGCTCCCAGACTTTGAAACTCCCTGTCTATAAAAGCCGGACTGTCTCCTTCCTTGTTGTCTTTCTGCTGGCAGACGAAGACCTTCTTGTTCCAACAGGTTTTGGGGAAACTGACTGCTTTAATGAGGAGGCTGGTAATGTGCCATTTTTCTTGGGCAGGGGGGTGTATTAAATTGTTTTTAATGATTGCTTCCCCTCTATGTTAGGGACACGGGTGGCGCTGTGGGTTAAACCACAGAGTCTAGGACTTGCTGATCAGAAGGTTGGCGGTTCGAATCCCCGCGACGGGGTGAGCTCCCGTTACTCGGTTCCTGCTCCTGCCCACCTAGCAGTTCGAAAGCACATCAAAGTGCAAGTAGATAAATAGGTACCACTCCGGCGGGAAGGTAAACGGCGTTTCCGTGCGCTGCTCTGGTTCTCCAGAAGCAGCTTAGTCCTGCTGGCCACATGACCCTGAAGCTGTACGCCTGCTCCCTCGGTCAATAAAGCGAGATGAGCACCGCAACCCGAGTTGGTCACGACTGGACCTAATGGTCAGGGGTCCCTTTACCCTTTATCTCCCCTCTATGTTATCTTTAAGTCACCTTCAGCACCTATCTAGGGCAAAAAGATACAACAACAACAACAACTCAGTGTATAGGATGGGTGGCAACCATGTTTTGAACAAGCCTTGGGGAAGCATTCAGTCTCCGGTTAAATGGGAGTAAATCCCATTGGACCCAGGCTGGATGTATTTTGGGATGGTGCTGTTAGTGCTGGTTATATACCGAATGCTTATATGTCGCCTTTCAAAACTGGTTTAATCTAGCTGAATGCCATGCTGCCAGGATAGATGTTGTCCTCTGAAGTAGAAAAGACGATCCATTTCCCAGGGGTCAACACAGAAATGATGTGCTGGAGCCTCACTGTTTGTTTTCTTTACAAGTCGTATGGCGCTGTCTGCTAAGGACTTAAGAACTGCATTGCTGGATAAAACCAAGGTGCTTTTTTCCCTAAACAAGCATCCAGTCTCAACTAAAGCTGTGCCCCAAAACCCCGCACACCCGTATATAGATATATATATATATATATATATACACACACACACACACACACACACACACACCATTCATTGCATAAGGGTTAGCAAAGCAAATCCATCAGGTCATTTTCTCTTTAATTTTCAGGAGGGTTATGTATTGGTTACCCTACTTGACCAAGGGTATTCCATTCTTTCTTGCTTTTAAAAGAAAAAAGTGCCTTATGCCAATCACAGGCTCCTAATGCAACTTGACAGCTTCCTGGAATGCCTTGGAAGTGACAGTATGCCATCCTATATCACATCACTGCTATTGTGGTCCAGAGATTGTGATAGGTTGGAGGTGGCGTGAGGTTCCCGCCACACCTTTCCGACTGCAACATGTCCTGGCAAGACTCAGTAAAGTGCAGGGCAGCCCACTCCTCCAAGTAATCGGCAGAAAATCAGTCCCTGTTGTTGTTGTGGGTGGGGGGTATTATTTCTGGACCTGGGAGAGGAGGGGGAGGCCTAGCCTTAATCTCAACAGTGTGAGAGCTGACTTTTCACTGACAGCTACTCCATATGTAAGGACAGCGTGTAAGCCAAACTTCCACAATCTTAGGTCTCTAGATATTATTGGTCAGTGGTCAAGAATGATGAGGAGGTATAGTTCAGCAACATCTGTAGATCCAAGGTTGGGGAAGATTGGTGTGAGGAAAGATTCCAGTGGGTGGATAGGGGAAAACAGGGTTCTGTTCATACATTTGATTAATATAATTAGGTTAGGGGTGGAATCTGCCTTCACAATTCCTCCTATTTCCCCACCGTGCGTTCATTGAAGGTCCTGTGAATGTCTGAGCAGGTTGTTAGATTACTCTCAGTATCAGCTACTAATAATACCAGGTGGGCTTCAATACTTCATCACATGTTGTTTAGTCGTGTCCAACTCTTCGTGACCCCATGGACCAGAGCACGCCAGGCACTCCTGTCTTCCACTGCCTCCCGCAGTTTGGTCAAACTCATGTTGGTAGCTTCAAGAACACTGTCCAACCATCTCGCCCTCTGTCGTCCCCTTCTCCTTGTGCCCTCCATCTTTCCCAACATCAGGGTCTTTTCCAGGGAGTCTTCTCTTCTCATGAGGTGGCCAAAGTATCAGAGCCTCAGCTTCAGGATCTGTCTTTCCAGTGAGCACTCAGGGCTGATTTCCTTAAGAATGAATAGGTTTGATCTTCTTGCAATCCATGGGACTCTCAAGAGTCTCCTCCAGCACCAGAATTCAAAAACATCAATGCTTTGGCGACCAGCCTTCTTTATGGTCCAGCTCTCAGTTCCATACATCACTACTGAGAAAACCATAGCTTTAACTATACGGACCTTTGTTGGCAAGGTGATATCTCTGCTTTTTAAGATGCTGTCTAGGTTTGTCATTACTTTTCTCCCAAAGCAGGCGTTTTTTAATTTCGTGACTGCTGTCACCATCTGTAGTGATCATGGAACCCAAGAAAGTAAAATCTCTCACTGCCTCAATTTCTTCCCTTTCTATTTGCCAGGAGGTAAGGGACCAGTGACCATGATCTTAGTTTTTTGATGTGATGACTTCATCACATGAGGGATTGTCAATGAAAGAGGGCTCAGTATGATGGGTTGTTGGTGGGTTGGTCAGATAAAAAATGGGGCAGAAATGGCATAGAACTGGGCAGTTGGAAGAGAACCTAAGGCTCGTATAGCAATGCAGGAATCACTGTGAAATAATCTATAGCAGATGGTCATCCAAACTCTGTTTAAAAACCTCCAATGGAGGAGAGTCCATCACTTTCCTAGGTAGTCCATGCCACTGTTAAAACCTCTTACCGTCAGGCGGTTGGCATCTGTCTCTCTCAAGAGACAATGGAAGAGCATGCCTTCAGGGGTGATGTCAAACCGCCGGACTGTTACAGCGCCTGTTGTGGCTGTAGAGACCGATACAGGAGAAACATGTCTTGTTGCAGCTGGGGCAGATGAAGGCATCAAGTTGTGCTGATGCAGGTGTATCATGTTGTTTCTTCTCTCTGCATTCTTCCCAGAGGTCATTCCTCCTCTCATCAGGAAGTTCTTACTCATATTTAGTCTGAATCTCCTTTCTTGTTGTTTGAATCTGTTGTTTCAGGTTCTGCCCTCTGGCATAGCAGAAAACAAGCTTGTTCCCTCTTCCATGTGACAGCCCTTCAGATAGTTGAAGGCAGCTTTTATATCACCTCTCAGTCTTCTCTTCTGCAGATCAGACATACCCAATTGCCTCAACCGTTCCCCATAAGACTTGTTCGCCCTCTTATGCAAACCTTCCAGCTTGTCGAGATCCTCCTTAAGTTGTGGCGCACAGAACGAACATCTCCAGGAAGGACTGGAAGCAGTCCCTGTCTGAATCTTTGCCCAGCTGCTGCCAGTTATTGTCAACAACGTGAGGCTATACGAACCAATGGCCTGGCTTGGTATAAAAAAGGGGTTGTACTTTACTGGTAGGGATACGGGTGGCGCTGTGGGTTAAACCACAGAACCTAGGACTTGCCGATCAGAAGATTGGCGGTTTGAATCCCCGTGACGGGGTGAGCTCCCGTTGCTCGGTCCCTGCTCCTGCCAACCTAGCAGTTCAAAAGCACGTCAAAGTGCAAGTAGATAAATAGGTACCGCTCTGGCGGGAAGGTAAACGGTGTTTCCGTGCGCTGCTCTGGTTCGCCAGAAGCAGCTTAGTCATGCTGGCCACATGACCCGGAAGCTGTACGCCGGCTCCCTCGGCCAATAAAGCGAGATGAGCGCTGCAACCCCAAAGTCGGCCACAACTGGACCTAATGGTCAAGGGTCCCTTTACCTTTACCTTTAGCTTAGTGGTAGAGCATCTGTTTTGCATGAAAAAGGTCCCAGGTTCAAATCCCAGCCTCTCCAGGTAGGACTGGATGCTTCCTGTCCTGTATTATGCTGGGTCTTCTTCAGTCTGTGGCACTCTGTGCTTCCTGTGCTGCTTCCACTGCATTGATAAGCCGTGGCCATTTTATACCCGAAATGTCTCTGTGCCTTTGTCGGTTCCTGCAGCAGACACTCTTGTTTACATCTCAGAGAGAGAGAAACAGCCTGGGGTTATTGCCAATGGCAGTAATCACAACAAGATTCCAGGGCCTTTACCGTCCCCAGTCCTTTAAAAACGGCAAACAAACTAAAAGCCCCTGTTTTAAGGCGAGCTGGCCAAAGGGAGATTTCTGCAATCAGCACCGGTTGCTGATTTATGTTTGCTGGAATGTTTTATCTATATGTTTGTGAAACCAGAGCCAGCTTTGAGTAACCTTGAGGGCACTTGCTACCGCTGCAGAGAGACAAATTAAATCACCGGACTCTGGTATTTGCAGGGAAATAGCGCTTTTGCCAATTAACCCCTCAGAATCAGATAAACTTGATAAAACGAAAAGGCAGCCATTGAAATCCTTGTGGTTCTTTGCAACGGGAGCTCTGGCTTCATCTGATAGAAATTAGCCCTCTGAGTCATTGGCTTCTCTGCAGAGGTGTAATGGAATGTCTGCAATCTGGGGCAAAAGCTCGCTGACAGAATTCATTTCCAGGCAGCATAAGAGTACCATTCTGCATCGATGTTAGAAATGTCGGGTGCACCGATACAGGGCAGGTGACACCTGACCTGATAGCAGTAGATGGGAAAGCAAAGAATGAAGGGGTTTAGTAGACTACAACCTTTGGAACCCTGGAAAAATATTCAGAAAGGGTCAAGGGGATGGTAGCAATTCGCAAATGGAAACCTGCTGTTGTTGTTGGCACCCACCGGTCTTGTGAGAGAATGGAGTGCACCTGTAGAAGTGAAGTCCAACTGCCAGAGAATCACAGCACTCCCTAATGTCACCTGCTGCTTTAACAATTGCCCTTCCACCACACCTGACTGAACCCCCTCTCGCTTGGATTACTGCAATGCGCTCTATGTGGGGCTACCTTTGAAGGTGACCCGGAAACTACAACTAATCCAGAATGCGGCAACTAGACTGGTGACTGGGAGCGGCCGCCGAGACCACGTAACACTGGTCTTGAAAGATCTACATTGGCTCCCAATATGTTTCCGAGCACAATTCAAAGTGTTGGTGCTGACCTTTCAAGCCCTAAACAGCCTCGGTCCAGTATATCTGAAGGAGCGTCTCCATCCCCATCGTTCTGCCCGGACACTGAGGTCTAGTGCCAAGGGCCTTCTGGCGGTTCCCTCACTTCGAGAAGCGAAGTTACAGGGAATCAGGCAGAGGCCTTCTCGGTAGTGGCACCCGCCCTGTGGAACACCCTCCCACCAGATGTCAAAGAGAACAACAACTACCAGACTTTTAGAAGACATCTGAAGGCAGCCCTGTTTAGGGAAGCTTTTAATGTTTAATAGACTATTATATTCTGTTGGAAGCCCTCCAGAGTGGCTGGGGAAACCCAGCCAAATGGGCGGGGTATAAATAACAAATTTATTAATTATTATTATTATTATTATTATTATTATTATTATTATACACTCATCTCACCTGCTTCCTCTCCCCTCACAACTCACCCCAAGACACATACCCTCCTCTTACAGTTCACTCCAAACAAATGGGGGGAAAGAATGGAAAATAGAATGTATTTTCCATGTGGATGAAGAAGAGAGAGATAGAGACAGAAAGACAGAGAGAGAGAGAGAGAAAGCGAGAGAGAGAGAGAGAGATTGAAATTGGTCTCCGCTTCTTAGCTCTTTTCCATCCCACTTGAAAAGGTGGCATTTTGCACTCGCCACTGTAAATCACAGTCCGGATACTTAAGCAAACTGTGACAGAGGTGAGATGCCCGTGAAACCGCTGAGCCAGGAATAAAGCACTTTTAAATCCCAATGGCAGGAAAGGGAGGCGGGAGGAAAGAAGCCCCACTTGACTCAGCTGATCATCTTTCTCCCTCCTCGAGGTTGAAGAGGTCTCCGTCTTTTAAGTACACAGTCTTTGATATTAAATTCATATGCTTCCCAAATGGCAGCGGGGTTTATAGCCTGCCTATAAAGAACCTAAAAGATGGCCCCTCTCTTAGACTTTGCCTTTTGACAATATTTGACTCATGGAGGAAGCTCATAACTTCTCAGAAATATTACCCGTCTCCATGCAAGATCCTTCTTAATGTCAGGGATCACATTCCCTCCCCTGTCCTTTATCCCCCTGTAGTTGTGTCTGGTTCCTCCATATCTTTTTATTAAAGGTGGGTACCTTGCATGGTGGGGACGCAGGTGGTGTTGTGGTCTAAGCCACAGAGCCTAGGGCTTGCCAATCAGAAGGTCGGTGGTTCGAATCCACACGATGGGGTGAGCTCCCGTTGTTCGGTCCCTGCTCCTGCCAACCTAACAGTTCAAAAGCACGTCAAAGTGCAAGTAGATAAATAGGTACCGCTCCGCCGGGAAGGTAAACGGTGTTTCTGTGTGCTGCTCTGGTTTGCCAGAAGCGGCTCAGTCATGCTGGCCACATGACCCGGAAGCTGTACGCCGGCTCCCTCGGCCAATAAAGCGAGATGAGTGCCGCAACCCCAGAGTTGGTCACGACTGGACCTAATGGTCAGGGGTCCCTTTACTGTCAAGTCTACACAAGAGCACCTGGCTTTTATTTGGCTGTCTTCTCTTCCGGGATGTATGGGAGCAGGAGTCGCCAACAGTGTGCTTGCCATTTGCAGTTGGACTCCAGCTCCCATCAGAAGTGGCTTAGTCATGCTGCCCACATGACCCACCAGCTCCCTCGGCCAGTAAAGCAAGAAGCAAGATGAGCTCCACAATCCCAGAGTCGTTCACGACTGGACTTAACAGTCACAGGTCCCTTTGCCTTTACCTTTACCTTGCATGGTGAGAAAGCTTGTTGTCACAAGCTAAAACAGAGATCAGAACAGGGAGATGTCTACTTGGGCTGCGCATGGACACACACGCCCGCTCCCTGATCTGATTTGTGTGTTGGACTTTTGCACCAACACAGAGCGTGCACAGCGACTGGTGTGTAGAAATAAAAGGCTGTCTTCAATATCTTTGCTTAGTTTTATTTCAATACCATAACAGTCAAAAGCTGCAAGCCATCACTCCTCCTCACCAGCAGCATACAGCAGCATTGGATCAACTTAAATACAGTTTTCAAATAATCAATTACCCTATCACATCCCTGCATTCGGTGCAGAAAGGAAACTCCCTCTTTAATTAGTCAAATTGTCAATAGACCACAGGTGTGCTGCCAAGCTGGTCAAAACTGCAAATATTGACTTCTGAGTAGCACCATTGACCACCACAAGTTAAAGAAAACCCAACTGTGGGTAAATCTGAATCACACGAGATCCAGGCCAGAGTGATCTTGAACTCGTCTGAACCAATCTAAACCCCAATTTCGAAAATATCCAGAAATCAAGCTGACTTGACTTGCAGAATGAAAATGCCCATAATTTTATTGCGTTTTGCATAGGAGTATGATGTGATAGCCCTTATAGAGGGGATTATCCCCACCTGAATTCAGAAGACTAGCTCCAAGGGTTTCATGCTAGCCACCTTTAAAGTTTGGATTTCTTAAAAAAAAAAAAAGGAAAGGAAAGGAAAGGAAAGGAAAGGAAAGGAAAGGAAGAAGAGAAGAAGAAGAAGAGTTTGGATTTGATATCCCGCCTTTCACTCCCTTTAAGGAGTCTCAAAGCAGCTAACAATCTCCTTTCCCTTCCTCCCCCACAACAAACACTCTGTGAGGTGAGTGGGGCTGAGAGACTTCAAAGAAGTGTGACTGGTCCAAGGTCACCCAGCAGCTGCATGTGGAAGAGCGGAGACGCGAACCCGGTTCCCCAGATTACGAGACTACCGCTCTTAACCACTACACCACACTGGAAAGGAAAGGAAAGGAGAAAAGAGAAGGTTTATAAAAATACTTTGAATGCTAAGTCATGCCAGTTCTTGTGTCCCTGTGTTTGTCTTGTTCCTTTCATCGAGATTTTGAAAACGTTTGAGGGTTTGTTTTGTTTTAAGTCAGGTCTGAGATACTAGACACGGACAGGCAGCAGTAGACAGACACTGGCAGGCAAGAACATGAAGATAATATGTACCTAGGTACCTGTCAGCAGCAGCAGAGGGGAGAGTGCAATATTATTTACTATGAATAATATACACCATGGTTTGCAATTGGAAATTATTAGTATTACGATTATGATTATTTTCAGAAGGCTATGCCAAAGTATGACTGTATGTCAGGCTAATAATAACAATAAAAATTGCATAACCCCCACTAGGTTACAAAGCACAAGCAGAGTATTTGTTGTTCGTGGTTAGCAATTTTAAGTGATAATAAGAACAGCGACACTTTTTTAGCGATGAGAAGAGAGAGGAAATGAAACATTTTCTTTAAAAAATCAGAATGAGATTGATTGGAAGGGATAGGAAACAAACACAAGGTGAACAAATGCCCCCCACCCCATAAAATGTTTTCTGAGAGGCAGAACTTGCAAATGAGTTCTGCACTGTAAGACTTAACCACCATTATGCCTTCCGATAGGCTGTGAATATTCTTGCCTTCCTCCAGATCCCCTCTTCCCCTCCACAGCCTGGCATTCTCCTTATATGGTGCAGTAACTAGCAATTGCAACATTTCTGAGACACCCTTTCTGGCTTTCTGAGAGACTGGTTGAGCTACAGATCTGCATAAATTCATGCAGATTGAATCAGGACAAGCCAATCCCCTTGGCAACGATTTGTATCTGCTTCAAGCTGACGCAGACAAGATAGAATTCAGCCCAGAGCAACCCAATTCAGTTTGAGATTTGACAAAATGTAGTGCAAAGCCCTGGTTTCAAATTTTTCTCCTTTATTTCTATTGATGGTTTTGACAGAGCTGAATTGTTGGCTCACAGTATTTATATATAAGTTGTCCAGTTGCAAATATCATATGGGCAGCA